CTGCCCTACTTAAACTTTGGTATTGAGGTGTGGGGAAACAAGTATAAAAGTCTACTACATCCCCTCAAAATATTACAAAAACGTGCAATAAGAACAATCAACAAAGTGGGCTATCTCGATCACACTAATGGATTATTTTTAAAATCAAAACTCTTAAAATTAGAAGACCTGGTTAATCTTAACACTGCACAACTGCTGTTTAGAGCTAATTCAAAAACTCTACCAGCCAATATTCAAAAGACATTTATTAAAAAAGAATATGAGCGTAACTTGAGAAGATGTAGTAACTTTAAACTCCCAGCCGTCAGGACCACAAGGAGGAGTTGGTGTGTATCTGTCTGTGGGGTGAAGCTCTGGAACAGCCTGAGCCAGGAGCTGAAGCAGTGCTCAAGTATCCAGCAATTCAAATCACATCTTAAAAAGATGATATGGACAAAATATGAGAGAGAAAAATACTAACAAATCACTACAGGGTCAATAGTAACTGTTTTGGGTATTACCAGTATGGGTATAAGAGCATTCATGATCACCATTAAAATAAAATACATAAAATAACAGGGTTATATATCTAGTTATGTATGTGAAAACAGGTATATGTATGTTGTTGTGTGTGTGTGTCTGTATAGAAAACATTTAATATTTAATTTGTAGTTATGTATGTGATAATATGTGTATGTCTGCTTGTATGTTTATATTTCTGTATAGAGAACACTTAATATTTTATATATTGGTGTACTAAATGTAGAAATACGTGTGCAGCAGTGATTGGTGTTGCTTTGGTGGGCATTGGCGCAGTCTCTTTCTCTTTGGGCTGGTTCTGTGTCTCGGGAGGTGGTTTCTGTGGTGGTGGCTGGTGGTGTGGAGGGGCAGTGGACCCATGTCATAGTGGCGTTCTGTGGACACGCAATCAGGAATGACCTCACTGTCTAGAATCCATTTGGACATACAAGAGTATGAATTGAAAATAAAATATGAAAAAAAAAAAAAATATGTGTAAAAGAACAAAAATTAAAGAAAGTATTTTCTGCCTGAAGGTGGAGCTAGGACAGTCACGGTGGTGATAATCGGCTCTATCCAAGGTAAAGAAACTGTAGAATTAATCAAATGCCTTTTCATTTGAAAGAATAAAACAATGGTATGAATGATCAGTGAGGTGGTTGCTCATGGTGTAGTTGGAGCCTGCTGTGCGTTGGACTATTGTTCCTCTGCATGATTGGTCTACTGCTGTGGCGGCTGCTTCTTGTGACTGGAGTTGGCCTGAGTTGGGGCGCTGGGCCTTGCTGGGGCACAGTGATCATTGTTACAGATGTAACTTTATAAAAGTATTAAATCGCACTGAACACGAGAAATTATTATTAAGGTATTATTTATTCAATACTAAATAACAACATTCTTGCATGTTTTTGAATTATGTTTATGGGGTGGGAGTCGACAAGTTTTTACTTCCTTCCCACTCCATTTCGAGCTGACAAATTGTAAATAGAGGTTCATTTGTGTATTGACATTGCGATGTATAACACCTGGTGTAACTAGGGAAACTATTGTTGCTTGATTGTATAGTTTGTTTATATATTTCTATGTATAAGTATAAACTGTAAGCACAGCAGGCAACATGTATGTATAAAAAATCATCTAAGGAATGTAAATATTGTAAATACTTATGATTGTGCAATTTCTGCTCGAATGAATAAAAAATCAATCAATCAAAATCAATCAATCATGGAGGAACAAAACTTCATCTGGCTCCTTATTTTTTTCCTGGATGTAACTCATTTTCCAGTCACTTCTGCCTCCCCAGGGGGAGTGCCTGTTGAGTCCAGGCTGCAGCAGAGCAGTCTGCCAGCTCCCATAGGGTGGTCAGTTTGAATCTTTGCCCAAGCTTAGACTCGGCTTTTGCAGGAAGCTGAGGAGTTAGTATGCCTGTGACGCTTGGCAGAGCATCTCCTGTTAGCTGTATTGCACATCTCCATTTAGAATTTTGGAACACATTTTATCTGTACTTTACTCATAATAATCATGATCATAAAAGGTGTTTATGCAACTGGTGTGGGGTCTACCACCTCCTCAACTCCTGAAGATAATGCTTTGTATTTATACCACAGTTAATGTGTCTGAAGAATGTTTAAAGATTACAGGCTTGTTTTATTGTTCATACCATCAGTACTGTATTCCTGGTTTTATGAAAGAAAGACTGAAATGATGATTGAGATATTGATGTTTTTTTTATTGATTTTGAAAATGAGCAATTTAAATTGGGGTTGTCAAAAGTATTGAAAATTACTATCAGTATCATGTACCAAGTAGTTAGTATTGAAACTACTTACTAATTTGAGCAAGAAATATCTATAAAAATAGTTACATAGAGAAGGCCAAAAAATACAGTTCCTATTTATAAGCTATACCAAAATAATTTGTGAAGTCAGCAAGTAATCTTTTTAAAGCGCATTTCACAGACCAAAGTCACCCAAAGTACATTACAACGTTTTGGAGAACAGATATTTTTCCATTCACTCCACACTGGGTGATGAGAGAAGCAAGACTCCGATCTCCTGGTCCATCAAAGCATCTGACCATCACCATCCATCCACACTCATGGTACAAGTAGTGGTGGTCGGGGAAACTGGAGCATCCGGAGGAAACCTACGCAGACACGGGGGGGAGCATTCAAACAGAAAGGCTGTGTCTGGAGGTGGAATGGAACCCAGGACCTTCTTGCTAACAGCTGCCCCAGCGCTGTGGTTTTGAAATTGGTATTGAGTATGTTTGTAGTAATGTTCTACTGCAACAACATTAGTTTGATATCATAATGTTGCAGAGAAAAAGCAACCGGGTCATAAATAATGTTACTGTGTAGTTCCTGTCATTGTGTCCATTTGGGCAAGACACACCGCAGTGGAGGTGTGTCAGAGAATAATGCAATTTTAGGTCAGGTTTATTTAGAAAAGTATTCTCTGTATGAACGCAGGTTTTTCTTTCATTAAAATCATTGGGTGAATTTGACACCAGGCTCACCATCAAGTGGTGGAGGTCTGAATAGAGTGAGGCGTGTGATATTGATTGTTTTTATATGTTTATATTTTGTCATATATAACACCATCACAGCACTTTTCTCGCAGGCATATTCACAAGGTTAAATGATAAAAAATTTGCTGCATGTGCACTTCCTGCAGACAGAAGCTGTAATGAGGGTTTCAAGTGAATTTAAAGGATTTTCATTCTTCTAACGCCGCTCGACTTAGAGACTGCAGCTCAAATTTATAAGGAAAACTCTCCCTCTAAAACAAACCTGGCAGAGACACGGTTTTATTCCCAAACCTTGTTCGGTGTAATTCACGCTGGGTTGCCAGGAAACAGCTCTGGTCCAAACTCATTACTCTTGCAGCCATTATCAGCACAGTCAGGTCTATGCTCCCTATGTGTGCCCCACCTTTCCCAACTTCTCTGGTGCTTTGTTAAACCAAGGATCAGCCCAGGTCACAGCAGCATCCAATCACTGCTATCAGTCTGTGCTAGACTTGGACGTGTCCGGATGCCCAGGGTTAGTGCGATGTTGTGGTTAAAACTTCCTGGAGAATAAGACATTATGATTCTGCTGGGGAGGAAAGTTGTGATTTTGCCTTGCTTTAAAACTTGACCAAAATTATCCCAATCCAGGTTTTTTGGACGGTTCACTTTAACTGGATCAACTTTAGTGGGAAAAAATACTCACTGATCTGTGCCAAATGATAGTGGACACATGTTCACTTGTTTGAGGGCTTTACATTCACAAATAAAGCAATGTTTCCCAACAGTCACTTAAGAATAAGGGAGTCCTAGTTTTGTCCTGGTACTTGGATGGTCAATTTTCTTGATTTTTTTTACACAATCCCTAGTGTGAATGAGGGGTAAGCGATAATTATTGTAGGAGATGATATCGCAAAAGAAACGTTGACAATAAACTGTTTCACTTTATTGAGATATTGGCTCCATTTCAATTTCGCCGCTTTGCCTGTCTGCCTTCTCTGTGCTGCGCTCACCTCCACCTCCTTCTGCTCCCCCTCAGCCTCGCATATGCGTCTCATTCAACACAGTTAAAACATGCTCGGCAGGAACAACTTGTTGTTAGTGCTGTAATTTACAGTCAATCCTGACAAAATCACAAACACAAAAGACATTGTTCAGGTATTCTTTATTTCATGGTTGCCTTCCCAAGGAAACATGTCTGAAGAGAACAGAGCAAAGTTCAGCTCAGCCTCGCGTCCGGAGCATGTCTGAAGCTCAGAATATGACAGAAGGTGGTGTAGCGTCAGAGTTCATGGCATTTCAAACAGTCGAGGACACGGCACGTTTTGACGTTATTGAACAACGTGGCTTTATTTCAGAGACTGTAAACTTTATACGCAGCTAGAAACTAAACTTAAGGTGTATTGTGTATCAAGATATAAAAAAATGTATTGAGATTTTTTTTTTTCTCCACATCGCCCAGCGATGTGAATTTCTTTTTATGTTCAAAAAGTCTTTATGAGCCCTGTCTCTAGACGTGTAGACATGCCATTGAACAACATTACATCAGAAAGATCGTAAAAGAGTAACAGCATAGCTCTATCGACATAACAAGTGCCACTTACATATAACTGTAAAGCTGTAAATGGTAACTCCAACGACGCTTATAAAATTCTTTCCCGGAAAAGAAATACAATACCGATAAGACAAGTGACATCCTGAATCTCTTCAATGGGCTCAGTAATGTCACATTTGTGAGCTTTTACAAACGGCAAACATTGAGAGAGTGTATTAAATAAATGAATGAACAATATTTCATTACTCTTTATTTCTTAGCTCAGACATGTCTGGCAAGATACATAAGTATTACTTAGAAATACATATAAATGATGTATATATTGGAAAAATATCATAACCTACTATCCCACAGTACAACACAGATTGACCCAGCCATCCCAATTAGCTTCATCTCTTTTTGCTGCTGTTAAAAGTGTGTTGTGTTGTTGTTTCGCCCACAGTGGTTTGGTGATCTGGTGACCCCGGTGTGGTGGGAGGACGTCTGGCTCAAAGAAGGGTTTGCACATTTCTTTGAGTACCTCGGCACCGATTTCCTCTTCCCAAAATGGAACATGGTGAGTCAAAGTTTACTGCAGTGACTTTAACCCTGAAATATGAATCAAACATGTTTTTGAATACTTTGCTGAAGGGATGTTTACTCTTATTCTCAACACTTATCAGAGTTCTCTACATTTTTTAGCAGTTAAAACATGCTAATTTGGTTTATTTAATTATCATGATTGCACTGATTTTAGAATGATTGCATTAGTGAGAATGTATGTTTTTCATTTTCATTCCTGTTTTGAATAAACAACTAACAGACCTTATGACAGTTATGATGGAAAGCTCCAAATAAAGCATCCAATAGGGCACTGTCCGGTTTCCGAAATGTGCTAAAAATAGTTCCAATGACTGCGCATGCGCGCATGTTTCGGACAAACTCTGTCCGACTCCGTTGAGTACTACTGTGTTCTCCTCATACGCGTGTGTATTTATTTGGGCTAAATCATTGAATCATGGTGACAACAAAACACTGCAGTTATGGTGCTTGTGGGAGCGATTTCAGATACTCTGAAAAGGACTATATGAAAGCAGTAACATTCAACCTGTTCGTTAAACCACACCATCGAACCAGACCAGGACCAGACCAGGACCAGACCAGGACAAGTGCAAGAGGTGGGTGCTTGTGGTCAGCAGAATTTCTCTCATGAAAATGTTAAAAAGGACATGTTTTTTCAAAACACTTCGCTGGACCAACTGTGGAGCCTCCAGATCCAGTCCTAGCTACGTTTAGCTGGGACTGGACCTGGACCGCTGTATCAGGTCCGTCTGAGCTCTTCTGAATGTAGTTAGCCCCATCAATCCATATTAGTATTGTTTGTCCTAATCCAGAATGTATACAATTCTCACACCTGAAGAAAGATGAGAGGGATTTTTTCAACTTCGTGACTATCGGAAAATAAGCACAGACGAAGCGCGTTGGGGTCCGCTTATTATACGGCTTTGTACCAACTGAACACACAAAATAAACTTCTGTCACTATTCATGCCAAAAGGTTTATTTAATGAGTGCAAAGAAAATAGTTCCCAAAGGTTTTAGTTCACCTACTTTAAAAAAGCGATCGCTTTAGTCGCATTAAAAAAGTATTTTTGTCATGAAAACCTTAACAGATAATTCTGAAAACCTCTGTGCACGTGTGTTGTATGAATATTATATTCTAGCATTAACATTTAAATATGTTGATTGATTGTCGTTTGCGTTTACTGAGTGTGGCTAGCTCCGATAGTTTCTCTCTCAGAGACAGTAGTGGTGTAGCCCGTTGTGACCCCATGGATCTATTATAATATCGGCTGACTGTAGTTAACTAAATGATCAAACTAATTACGAAATGGACAGTACAAAAAACAACTTGATAAATGGAAGTTAATCAGAGCAAAATAAACAAAGAAGGCGCTAACATTGCAATTTAAATGACTAGATAATGTTAGCATAATCCTCACCATTACCTTTTTATCAAATCAAACTTTCCACCAGTTACTGGAAGACCACGACATTCAAGCCAACGTTTTAATTGGTCTACACTATGATCCCTGATGGTTTGATGGTGGAATTTTGCTCCTGGTTTATCATTTTCGTCTAAAGTGACAAGAGGTATTTGATTCATTTTGGCAGTGTTTGTCCGAAATGTGGGCGGGAGTTGACAGACGGCGGGGGCGTGTCTTAGTGACGTCATTCAGATAGTTCGCTATAATGTGGTGCGCCAATTTTGGTTCTTGTCCAGTAACTTTCTTGAGCACCAACAAAAAACACTATTCAGCTCAATTGTTTTGGTGGTTTTATTTTTTCTACACAGTTAAGTAAAAAAAAAGAACATTGGAAACAGCAATAAGCTGTTTTGTAACAACATCTTAAAGTATAGTTATCTTACCTGGAAACCTTTTTGGTGCTAAACTGGCCTTTTTTTCCTTTATTTAACCAAGAAAGTCACACTCGGATTTCAGATTATCTTGTTAAGGAGAGCTGAGGAAGCTATTGTGTTTAGTAGTTCGGGGGAAAACCGGAGCAACCGGAGGAAACCTACGCAGACACAGGGAAAACATGCAAACTCCATTGAGATCCCAGAGCAAACCCAGGATCTTACTGAGAAGTGAGACTGCTAACCACTCAGCCACCACCCAAGCACCAGAGTTGTTGTGTGACTCCCGGACAGTTTATATTAGGAATCCTGACATATAACATTTGTTGTTCCCTCTACGCTGCGCAGTCACGGCCCTATTGCTGGCCGTGCGCACAGATACTCTGCTGATACAAAATGAATATCCACCTTGAGCTAGAGCTGAAGATCTTGCTCGAGCCCGACTTGGCCCAGCGGGTTCGGGCCGAGTCGGGCTCAATTTCTATTCTATAATTTGGGCTAAGGCTGGTAAAATCAGAGTAATGGCAACATGCTTGGAATAAGACTGCTGATCACATCACCATCCCTTCAATCTCTGAGTAATATATGTTTATTAATCTAATGCCCCAGTCTCTCCAATGAGGCCCGGATAAACGCTGTACCCTGAGCAATGATATGAAGTGATTTAGAGATGTATTTAAACAGCTAATCAACATGATTGACAGGGTCCTATGCCACCAGCAAAACAATGTGTCTGTGTTTGTTTACAGTGTATAGGCCACAGAGAAGCTGTGGATGCAGGCCTCATTCAGAAAATTAAAAGTCAGAGCAGAAAGCTCTCTGTCTGCTTGTGCTGCGATTATTCATACTGTCCGAGGGTGCAAGAGAAGCGCCTGCCCAAGCTAGCATGAGTTTGAACCAGAAATGAACTAGGATTAACCCTTAGTTCACACTGCACACTGTGAATCACGACTGCAGACTCAGTCTTGTGGATATGGGCAGGCACTACATCACTACACTTTTGGTGTGGTGTGTGGAGCTCCACTCACACCTGCGCACAGACACAGAGGGAGACCGACCTGAGCCGGAGACGTCCATTTCTTTGCCCATCTCTTTGCTCTGCGCTTTGTTCCATGTAAAGTGCTGAGTAGAGACTTAAGCCTGGTTCACACGGTAGGATAATTAGGCCGATTTAAGACCCGATTTACCCCTAACGACAATCTTAAGAACGCTCCAATTTTCGTAAATAAATCTGATGGATTTTCCTGCCATGTGTGGTGTGTTAAGTCTGCGCTCGTCGCTTGGAAGGACTTCGGGACTGCTCCAATCTCAAATTGGGGATATCCAACATGTTGGATTGTTTTGGCCCGATTTTTCTTCGTGTGTGGTGTCCTCCGGGGACAGACGAGCGCTTTGCCAGGTGACTGCGGCGTGTAGCCAATCAGAAGACGAGATAGGCTATGACATTCCTATGAGGAAAAAAACAACTCACCTCCATATCACGATGTAGCAAGCATAGTCCATGCTTGCGTTGTCTACACTTACAGTATTTGACCATCGCCTTTTCTTTTGATTATGCCGTTCTCTGCTAAAAACAAACTGGAAACTTTGTCCGCCATGATTGTTCACTCTGAAGTCACGCCTAATCTCACGAGATTTTGTGAGATTTCCGTCTGATCTGGGAATGCTCGGGGGTGAAATCGGTTCGTGTGTGATGTGTGTGGTTTGCGTGATTTTGTCCTGCAGCTGCGCACCACAAACTGTACGGCCAAAGTGGTTAGACCCTTCATTTTTTTTTTCAGGTTAGGAAAATCGGCTGAAAATTTTAAAATTGTCTCGTGTGAACCAGGCTTTAGCGGGCCGCTCATTCTCCTCCACTCACAGAACCAGCCTGCTTCCTCTAGCCTCTACAGCGCTGGTAAATATTGGGCTTTGACTTTGAAATTCGAATATAATTCTAAAATTTAAAAATATATATATATATTTGAGCAAATATTAGACAGCCCTTATAATTCAAAATGTATTTAATGACTGCAAATATAATAGTTAGCTCCCAAAGGTTTCACCGTGACGTGCTAGGCAGGAAACAGCTAAGCTAGCTTGTTCAAAAACTCTCTGGAACTACATGAAAACTGAACAAAGAATTCTGAATATCAGCGGTGAGTTACCCATTTATCTACCATGGCTAGCTCGGCTAGCTCTGCTAGCTTCTCTGCACAGACAGAAGTAGTTAGTGACAGGCGCTGAAAGCTCGTTGTACTTGCGGAGTAAAGTTAGCATTTTACATACCTGAATTACAAACAGAGATTGCATTGCCAAAGGGCAGCGGTCATTATTGGTTTGAGAGTTCTGTTATCAAGAAAAAATTATCTGTAGAACGTTTTGAAATTACATTCAAGTCAATGTGGATCAGGTAGGTCCTCCATTCAGCAGAAAGAGGCTCATCGCGGAGTGAAGTTGCATGATCTTGTGTTAACATGATTCTATTATTTTAAATATTATTGGAATATTATTTTAGATAATTAAGTAGATCTATGTGTTTTATAATGCATTGCTTATGTAGTAGTGTGGACAGTTTATCCGCCCACCAGCTGGGGGCGCCAGACGCCACACTATAAAACCCCGCTAGTTGTTGATGTTTGTCCCGCTTGCCGTCTGTACTTCCGGGTGCTGGTCGCTCGGCGTGTGTGTGTTTAGGTGTCTGTACTTCGCGTAGCAGGTAGTTGATGGCTCTTGGAGGCGCTTTCAACGCGCAGCTGGGTGGCGCTTCATTGTAGACTGGGTGTGTGTGGTCCCCGGTGGTCCTCTGAAGCCTAATGGTGCTTTCAGACCGGATCATGCGTTGCGTCGGGTTTCAATGCAAAGTCTATGGTGGCGCGCGTTCGACCGTCACAGCGCACGGCATCATGGATCTATTATATTAACTGGATAAGGTATTACTAGCTTGTAGCTGAATAACTCATGTGCTCAGGGGATTCTCGCGGTACTGCAGACTGAACCAGACTAAATTCACGTGGGCTACCCAGAAATTTTCCCCATAGAACTCAATGCATATTAAAACAGCTCAACCTCAGCTGACAGAGAACCTACAGCTTTCATAAAGGTTGGATTTTGTGGGAATTTTAGTGTCCCTTGTCATCCTGAACTTTTTTTCTTCTTAAATCCTTCGGTTTTGTTTAA